AGCTGTGACAACTTTTACAGATATGTATGTCTGAGGGAGAAGTCACTTGATACACACACCCCCTTCCCCAAACTTTTACAGATGCAAAACTCATCTATTTTTTGGTGACAGGGGAGGAGAAGAGGGGCACCATACCCAGCAGGATGAATTACTGCCCTTACCTCACTGAAGGCCACATCACAGTGATTAGTGAGCTGACCAGGAGAATCATAAGCTTGTGCACAAACAAAGTGATCCTTAAAAGAAACCAGCAGCATATGAAATGCAGGGAATGAAAGAAAAAAACTCTGTTGCTGAAGGAAGCTCAAACATACTTTTTTGAACCCAGTCATCCCAAAGAAATTATTAAACTCTGTTGTTTCTGAATACACTTGGCCTTAAAATATTAACATGTGCTTTTTATTTTATGCCTCAGAATGCATGAAATGGATTAAAAACACCCAAAATGGCATGAGCAATCTCTTAAGCACTAGCTAGTCTAACAACCAATCTTGTGCTTTAGCATGAAAGGTAAAGGTTTAGGTTTTTCAGTCATATGAGGCATCATCCTACAGTTCATGTGTTAGGCATCTCCCCTGTCCGCTGGCAACATTATTTGTGCATGCTTGTAACATTTTCACTTAATTAATAAAAACCCAGAAGCACATAATGACTTCAAATTTTTACACTTTATGGAGCTGGGAGTTTACCTGCTTTCTTTCAGTTTTATGAAGGTGAAATGTGGCACTTTATGGGCAAAATGTGGCGATTTCTGTTACTGCTCAAACTTTACAGTAGTTTGTTTTGTTTTTTTTTTACTCCCTCTGTCAGTAATTACTCCTGTTGGTTTGCATGTGCTCAGAATAATGACACACACACACAAATAACTCACTGCACTTTGTGACTCACCGAGATGCCCTCACAGAAATGATCTTGGTCACACTTCGTGCACCAAACGCCGCGGAGAGAACTTTTTTGGTGGGGAAAATCAGCGGGGCTTTAACTGCGAAGAATAAAAGTCTGAGTAAAAATTCGTTTGATACCCGACCCCCCTTCCCCAAACCTGTATAAATATTTTGGTTTAGCTGCGTTTGAAAGGCAGAGTCAATGAGTTTCATCCTTTGTTTCGACCATAATAGCGTCTTGTTTGAAGTCGCTATTTCGAGCCAGAGAGAGCCGGGCCTTTATTTCTCGAAGATGTTATTTCCTGAGAGCCTTTATGCCGCGAACTTACAGCCGGTCACTACTGGAGCTTCATTGTTAATTGTCTTTCAGGGGCACAAATATACAGCCTTTTCTTTCAAATTCAGGACGGCTCTGTTTGTTTACGCTGCTGAATGCAAACGGACGGGGAGGCATCGCTAGGGCTGTAGGAATAGGGAGGAGGCGCAGGGTTATCAGCTGTCCAGGACCCCTGAGTGCCCACCACACACCCGTGGGGGTCCCGCAGCAAGGGCGGCTCCAGCCAAACCCTCCTCCTGGCAGCAGCAGGAGGAGGAGGAGGAGGAGGAGGAAGGACACGTGCATCCTAAACATACTCAGGCAGAGGAGCTGAGCCAACATGCAGATGAGGGAGCGACACATACTTTGACAGCGCGACAGGGATTTTCACTCCTCTGTGTCCTCTCCCCGTGGCGCAAGAGGAATTCTGGAGGAGTAAGTCATCGCTGCTCCGGAGCACCGGCTGCAATGCAGCTCTTCCACATACCTCCCCATGCTCTAGACCTCCACATTTTTAGGGTCTTATTCCCCCTCTTTGTTGTCCCCTGTAAGAATTTCGTGTGCAGGCACCGTTCCCTGGGATGCCCCGGCCATCAGCTGCTGCTCTTTGCCTCCAAGGAACCCACAATTCAGCTTTGCAGCTGCTCAAATCAGAAATACTGGGCCAAATTACCCCCGCCCTTGGACAACCATCCATTGCTTCCAGGCCAAAACGCCACGTTTTTAAGTACTTAAAAAAAAAAAACCAAACAACTTACAAGTTCCTTTACCTTATTTCTCTACAAGAAGGTAATTTCCCAGCTTATTTCTGAGACACCACTGCAGAGAAAGAGAGTTAAAAAGGCAGAAATAACTCCTTAGCACTCACTTGAAGTGTGGGTCCTCATTCAAACAAAAAAAATTACGAGCAAGAAGGACTGAAAAAAAGCTTTATTCATCTGGACTACCAAAGAAAAGGGGACTTTGCAACATGTTGTTCTTTAGTCTTTACCCCTTTTCTTTCCTTTTCCCTTTCTAGCCACTTTACTCTTGAGCACCACCAGTTTTCCCTGCTAAAAAGAATAAAGCACCACTAGATCTGCCACAACGACAGCAACAAAATCTCAAAAATTTGAGGCTAGATGCTGATTCCATAATTTTTCTTAAGTTGATACAAAATTCCCCCTTTTGTCTCCAGCTGACAGTGTGACAACACATGCAGGAAAAATAAAAACATGGGTAAGAGCTAAAGAAATTGTGAGGAGGATGGACAATTCCTAAAATAGAACCAAAACCAAAGCAAAGTAATTTTTCCTTTGACTCTCTAGCTTAAAAATGTTATGTTTTGCGAAGGGATCACAGAATTATAGAGTAACTCCGGCTGGAAAGGAAAGTTGCAGGTCTCAATTCTGACCTTCTGCTTTGGCCAGTCGTGATCAGAGACTCCCACAGACAGAGCTTTCACTCACACTGGGAACATTCATTTCCAAATATCAAATTGGCATTTTCCCTGCTGCCACTGTGCACTTCTGGAAGAGTCTGGCTCTTTCTTTGCTCTAACCTCCCATTAAGTAGTTGAAAATAGCAATGAGATTCCCCATTAGCCTGCTTTTTTTCCTCCAAACTAATGAAACCCAGCCCCTCCTCATACATCATGTGCTCACTAAGCACATACCACTTCTAATGGAGCAACAGTCTATTTGTATACCAACAATAAGTATTATTTAAAGAAATTAAATACTCTTACACAAGAAGAATTTCTCTAAAAATAAGGCACTTCAGTAGAGCAAAATATGGCTGGGTTAATAATTTTGCTCTGGGTCTCAGAATGTTAATTTAGCAAGAAATAAATAACTCCCAGCCTTTCATCTTATCTTTTTGACAGCTGTTTCCCCTATATAAAGGGTGTCATAATTGTTTTTGTCAGTGTTATAATTAAAATTGCTATGCAGCTGACATACAGTTTTTAATGGTTTCCCTAAGGATTATAACAGATGTTGCCTTATTAGATCAGGACTCTCCTGAAGTAAGAAATGTCATTGGCATAATCAAGACACTTTTTTAAGTCTCTCAGAGTAGACTTGTCACAATTTTCCTGGTAACATTTGACCCTGAGGAGTGAAATATATCCCACTTTTCTACAGAGAAAGTTTTCTGAGGAGTTTGAAGGAAATACTAAAGAATCTTACTCTGGGGTAACGAGTTGAATGGTCCAGCTTTTGCTGCAGACAGAAGTAACTGGGAAATATAAGAGGGAGCCCTGACAACTGCACAAGAAACTGTGGCTTTTTAATGACAAAAATATCTGCAGGTAAAGATAAAGGATCCATTGAAATCTGGTGAGGAACTGAGAAGTAGCAGTTGGTGGGCTCCTATTACAAGAAAAGTTACAACCCTATGGCACAAGTGTTCATTTGAAATGGGAGGTAGTTTAAATAAAGGAAGGTATAACAGCAAGCTTAAAGAGCAGCTCTCTAAGTGCACTTTGGATCCCTGATGTTCACTGAAAATGCAGAGAAGTCGAGGGGGAAGCAAGAAGAAACTGTGGCTCCAATGGACACGGATCTGGGCAGCACACATGGATCCCCTTGTTTGAATACACCCAAAGTGTTTATTATGATATATAATAAGTCAGTTGTAGGTAACGTGCCAAGAGAATCAGAAAAAACTAGGTGGCTCCAACCTAAGAAAAGCCACCCTGCCCCTTCCACCGAGTCTCTTCAACCCCTCAGGGGGAACTCAATTTGACAAAATAAATGTAACAGAAAGCTGCTTCATATTTTTTGTGTCATTGAGCTCCTTGCAGCTTTCCAAGGGCCACCAAATTTTCCTCAAGGTGTGAGGAACGCCAACTCTGTTTCACAGGATCTGAGATTCACAGGCTGAAGCTTTCGCATCGCATCTCGTTTATATTAAGAACTCCCAAAAATAATTGTGGAAGGTGCAACATGACATAATCCCTGAAGTTCCACAGTTCCAAGTGTCATAGTTTCCTTACGGAAATCACAGAATCACAGAATCACTTAGTTTGGAAAAGATCTCTGAGGTTATCCATCCCAAACTTTGATCGATCCCCACCTTGTCAACCAGAACTGAGCTCTGAGTGCCACGTCCAGTAATTCCTTGGACATCTCCAAGGATGGAGACTCCACCACCTCCCTGGGCAGCCCCTTCATAAAATCAGAGAATTATAAAATCATAGAATCATAGAATGGTTTGGGTTGAAAGGGGACCTTCAAGATCACCCAGTTCCAACTCCCCTGCCGTGGGCAGGGACAGTTTCCACTAGACCACGTTGCTCCAAGGGTGATTAGACATCAGACGCTGGAATTTCTAATTACCCTTTCCGCGAAGTAATTCCTGCTAATGCCCAAATAGACTATTTATACAGATACTCGGATTTTCAGGGGTTAACTCTCCTAATCTCATCCATCTCGCGGAGAGAGGCACTAATTAAAAACAAAGCACGGAAAAAAACGTCCGGCACGAATTATCTCACGTAAAAAAAAAAAAAAAAAAAAAAAGGAAAAAAAAAAGATAAAATAACATCCGCCTCTCCGCACGAGACAAAACTGCCTTTTCCCCCTTCTTTTCCTCCCCTCGCCGCGCTTGGCATCACCGAGCCGGCGGGGGCCGCGTCGGTACCAGCGGTGGCGGCGGCCACGACAACAAGCGCGGAGGGGCCGGGCTTGCGGGGAGGCGGGTCCTGCCACCTCCCCCCCGCCCGCTGAAGAGCCGCTGCGAGGGCGGGAGGGCGGCACAGAGCGGGGAGGCACCGGCCGAGCATCAGCGCGGAACCAGCGCAGCATCAGCGCAGCGCCGCGGGCCGGGGCACCAGCGCGGCTCGGCCGGCAGCGCCCACGCACCGCCGGGCACCCGCCTGCCCTCCCTGCTCCCGCCTGCCCCTCCTCCTTCTCCGGGACTCTCCGCTGGGATCGGCCCCGCCGCGGCTGCCGCTGTTGTTGTTGGCCGGCGCGGCCACATCGAGGATATTTTGGCTCCCGGCGCCTCGTTGTTTTGGACTCTCTCCGTGTGCGCGGTGCCGGTGCCGCCTCCCCGGGAGCGACGCGCAGGAGCGCCGGGATATCGGGGGCCAGGTGAGGCGGGGGCGGCCGCGGGGAGGGAAGGGAAGGGAAGAGGAGGGAGAGAGGAAGGGGGGGCGGCTCGTAGGTGCGACCCCTTCCACGTCCGAGCGCCCCTTCCACATCCGAGCGCCCCGACCCATTCCACGCCGGAGCGCCCCGATCCCCGATCCCTCCCCGTCGGAGGGATCGCGCCTCTGCCGAAGGGTCTCCGCATCCCCCCCGGGGATGCCCATCACAGCCCCCGCCATCCCCCGGGCCCCCCGAGCGGCCTCCCCCGGGAGCTGCGGGCAGAGGGGAGCCGGCAGGAAGGGGTTAATGGGCAGCGCGCTCTGGATTTGGTTAGTACTTTAAAGGGACTCGAAAAAAAAAAAAGAAAACGTTCGGCTGTGTGATCTCCCCCATCGAACTTTCATGTGGGCGAAGTGTGTCATGTGTGCGAGAAGTCATGCCGGCTCCCGGCTATCTCCCGCTTGGGGAGCTCGGGGGCTGCGCGGGGAATCAGTGCTCCGGTTGGCTCCTAACCTATTGCTGGGGAGCTGTGGGTTTGGGTTTGGTTTGTTGTTTTTTTTTTTTGCCTGAAAAAATTGCCATTTAAAAGAAAAACGACAACCAGACACATTATCCTCACCGTCTCCCTCCAAAAAAAAATATATGTATATAAAAAACCTCAAGGAAAAATAACAGTGAAGGTACATTAGATACATTGAGGGCACCAGCACGCCTCGGTTCTCCATGTGGATGCTTCCCAGCTGAATCCAGCTGTGGGCAAGCACCTGGCTGTTGCTGAAAAGAAGGCGATCAGAATTCAGGAGTATTAGTTAATAAGTGCCTGATCCTGTTGACCCTGTTCTGGTTCACCCACTCAGCTATGCGGGGGTGTTGAAGAAGGTGTCCTGCCAGTTAAACCAATTATAGCTGGCAAGCAGCAGTCATCAGCATTAGTGGAGGAGCTGGAGGTGAGGCCCAGTCACACCGGAGTGTTTTCTGAACTTAAACAGGAGCTTTCTAAGCCCAGCAGAAAGCCAGATTTTAACCCTCTGTGCCGTGAAAATCCGTGGTGCCTTTTCAGCTCCGCTTGCCTGGCGAGAACTCCGCAAGGGTTCCGGATCTCGGGGCTGGGAGTTTGTGCTGCAGATGGGAGAAAGCTGGTGTGCGATGAGCAAACGATGCAGAAATTCCTTTGCTTGAGATATTTGGTTGGAGGAGGAAAACTGGAGTGTTGCAAAACACGCTGAGGATCTTCATATGTCAGTCGACTGGTCTGGTTTTTCCAAAGCTTTCCTTCCAGCAAGGCCATGGAGCAGCCCTAGCATGGAGAAACAGGGACTTGGTTTAATGAGCAATGCCGTGGAATGAACACTTGGTATAAACCTTTTGTCTTAGGACCCTAAACATCACTAAAAAAACAAACAAACAAAAAAAAAGGCCAGGAAGGAGAGTATCCCAGTCTTTTTAGTCAATGGAAAAATGCCTGACAGGATTTGTGGAGAGGTCAGAGTTGCACACAAGTGCCAGAAATCTTATTTCTAGTCCTAGCCAGAGATCAGACCTAAACTTGCTGAATATACATAAAATATTTTCCCAAATACTCTCAAATCTCTCGGGCTTACAGCCAGTTATCCCCGGACACCAGAGCGGAATTCAAAAGCAAAAACAGAAGGGTGTTAAAAATCGCTGTATATTTTTTTTAGAAGCCGAACACAAGGATAAACAGTTGTTTAAACTGTGGCAAATTTAATGAACAGATTAGGATGCTTGCTGAGTGAGACTCATGCTGTGTGAAATTCTTTGCTGCTCAATGAGATGTGTAATTTAGATCAAATATTTGTACGTGCTGTTTGAGGTAAAAAACATCATTCAGTAGATTGCACTTTTTGGCTAACGTTATTGAATATTCTTTTAAAAGTCGGTTGTCTTATTTTATTTCAATTACAAGCCTGATACTGCTGTCTGATAACAGTAAAGTTGAAATAGGCCTTTCAGGTTAAGGGCTCATGTTATTTTTGTTATTTTCCTATTTTTTATTTTCAAGTGATCAGCTGTTTAAGAGGATGAAAGGGCTCCTTGTCATTGGCTGTTGAATGTTTTTATTTCCCTCCCTGTTTATATGGACAGCTTTTGAGTGTCGTTTTTAACAAACTGGGCTTATTTTGTTAAGCTCCTGATTTGCCACCTCTTTCTGAATTTAAGATTATATTTACTTTTTGCCCTGTGGTAACATGGCTAATGAGAGAACTGGCTTGTAATAAGCACAGTTTTGTGGAAATCTTGATAGTGTCTTTTGTGGCTATTTAAATACAAGTGCACATTTTCAGGCAGTTTTTGGGGAGCAGGAGAATTTAGCCCAATGCTGTGAAAAACGGGAAGGAAAATTGTTGAGAGTGTAGCCTGATAAGGTGTCATTCACCGACACCTGAACTGCAGCATCACAATAAACCTGAACAATAGGCCATAAAACTGGCTTTATTCCTTATGTTTCATCTCTCCCATAGGTCAGTAAGAGGATATGAATCTTATCACTCTTTTCCTTAAGTGATATATGGGAGAACAAGTTACACAGGCCTCTCACAACCCTATTCCTTAAGTGTGATAGGATAAAGCTTTGACTTCAGTGGCATCAACATACTGACAGTGGTCTCATTATCAGCTCTTTAAAAAGGGTATTTTACTGTGTAAACTCATTTTAATTAAAACTTAGGCCCTCTAGAGCTTTATAAATATGGTAATCCTGTGTTTAGAAATGGTGCCAAGATAACATGGTTTGGAGATGCTCTGCCTGGTAAAGGCAGGAGGTTCCTGGTGCTGAGTATTGGCTTCAATGGTTATTCAGAAAGGGGTTGAGAGGGGTGAATGCAGTAGGTGAAGGTGTATCACTGTCACTCCTCTTCCTTCCCTCTGAAAGCCAAAATCCGAAGTGAATCATGGCCTGTGAGTGGGAATGCAGTAAGCAAAAATAACACAAAGCTGAACGCTGAAGATAATGGGTGAAAGCTGGAAAAGGTCCAAGGAAATAGATACTTGGTGGGCAAAGGAATTCTGTGGGCTTTTCAGACTTAGCAGAATCTTTGTGAAAGCTCTTCCAGTTAAAAAGCTGCTTGAAAGCAGGATGGGAACTGTGCCCTGTGTGGTTGGGATGTTGGCAATGAGGAGGAGAGCTTTGCCTGTGTCTCATTCCGTGAGCTGTTCCGTGGTCTGCACTGGAGCAGTCGGACACATCTGTTCACGTCTGCTTGCTTCCTACATGGCAGTGTTTTTTCATGTGAGCCCCTCTTTTTTCAGATGAGTGATTTTGGGATCAGGAACATGGATCAAGTGGCTCCCGTGTCGAACATGTACAGAGGAATGCTCAAGGTGAGTTCTCCTGAGTTGTCACCTCCTAAACCCGCCTGGGGCATCTCCCAGCTGATAAATTTATTGTGTTCTTATTGCACAGGAATTGGATAGGCCGGGTTTTAATTGAAGGGCAACACAGGTTTTAATTGAAACCTTGTACCCTCTCATCTTCCAGAGTGTTCCCCCTGAGTTCCATAGAGGTGTGAAAAGCAGAACTGAAATAGGAAGGTGTAAATCTTGCCCCCTCAACCCTCTTCCCCAAGGAGGCTCCCTCTCTCCCTTCCCTAAATCCTAAGATTTTGAAAATGAGAGGCAGGTAAGGACTGAGCTCAAATTTCTTGTTGGTGGTGGAACTTGGGCTTAAATAAAGGTTAAAGGATGGGCACCAGGGGTGGTCTTTTGTTTAATTTTGAGACTGGCAGAGGGCTGTTCTGATAGGACTGGTTGGGTTTGGTAAATTCCCAAACATTGTATGGAATAAAAGTAGGTTATTCATTTACTACTTGCAACTGTTACTAATGGAAATCCATTACATTGGGAGAAAACAAAGATACTTATGAAATATATTTTACCTTTAGATAGGCTGTGTCTGTTATCTTGTTTTGAGGGGGATTTACAAACTGAGGTCAAATGAGCAGCAGACTGTAAAGATTCAGCATTTAAGGGCTTCCCTCCTCCCCGTTCCTGCAAGTTGCATTTTAATCCCAGTGTCAGTTTTTCACACAGCATTGATTAATGTAAACCAGACAAAGGTTAGGGAGACACTTTTGACTCTCATTAGTTTTGAGGAATGTCCATGTTTTGAGGAATCAGTCAGTGAGACTGGTGTGCTGACTGCTCTGGTGTTTTGTGTCCCCTCTTAGCTTTTTTTTCTCCTCCTCACAGCAACACTAAAATCCAAGAGATCCCCCAACTTAACAGCTGTGTGCTCTGTAACACAGTGGTTGTTTTAAACAGTTATTCAGTTATCACAGAATTAAGTCAAAGTAGAGACCTGTATTTTACTGTTTTGTAGCTGTTCACATTTATTTAATTCTGCAATAATTACTCTTATGTTAAAAGGCCAGTTAAAAGAGTTGCATAACTGATAGGACAAGCAGAGTTTATTCTACATTATTTTTCCCTTTTTACTGCTATTAAATCAAGAACCTGCTTAAACATTAATCTTCTCCTTTTTGAAATATGAGACCAGCACGGTATGGATTTTACTCATTCACATGCCACAGCATTTTTTCCAGTGACTCAGGATAAGGGTCAGCTATTTACACAAAATGCAGGAGTTTCCAGATTGTGTTGAAAGAACTTGCCCTTTCTTTGAGGTGCTGGTGATGACTCAGTGCTTTTATCTAGTAATGTATAAAGAATCTTTTACCGGCAGATTTGGCAGCTCTTATTAACTTGTTTTATTCAGTTGGGGTTGGCTCTGACTCTGCCTGGGGGGTACCTGAACCAAAGGCACACAGTTTGTCTCTGCTGGCCAGGAGGTTTCTGAACCTTTAGCCAAGGTGTGATCCTGGTTGTGGTGACATGAAAAGTTTGGGATTGTGGAGGAATATTAACGCTCATTTGCTGTTCCAGGAAGGCAGTTCAGATCGCTTTTTGCATTGCTGCCCTGAAAAATCTTTGCCTTGTCCTCAGCTAAATCCTCTCCTTTGGCATGAACTGCCAAACCAAGTGTTTGCCTAAAACAAAGAAGCATCTGCAAGTTTGTCTCCAGCTCCCTGAGCTGCAGTAGCTGCCATGAGCAGGCTGTGGTTTTCCAGAACAATGTTCTGTCCTCAGGTGCCTTTAAAAATCTCAGTGGCAACTTGTATCCATCTGTGCCTCAAGATATTGCAGATATGGGTTCTTTGTGACTAACAGGGAAGTTGCATAAGTTGTTTTTTGAAGTTATTTCCTCCTCTCTTAACATTCTTTCTGCCCCCCAAAGACTAAGTGGATGGGGAATCTAATAAGGTACCAGTAGTTCCAGCACACACAGTTGGCACGTGTGTCAGGTTGAAAGGATTGAAGTGTTCAAAATATAACAATATTTATTGAATGTTGTCAATATAACAGTAGAATCCCCTTTTATCTGGAACACTTTTATCAGTCCTGTTTATCCCTTTCTGGATAATGAAACTGGAAGTGTTTCACTGAGCACTTGAAAGACTTCAAAATACTGCAAATCCAGTAACTCAGAAATGTAAAAATTTCAGCAAAGGAGTAACATCTTTCCCCAAGTCCTTTTAAGCTGGCTGTATAGTTTCAAGTGATGTGGTTCAGATTAATTTTTTCCTTTTTTTTTTTTCTTTCTACAAAAAAAAAGCTGCATAAACCTACTGTAGGTCTTGCCTTGGTAGTTATTTTCCTATGATTTACTGCTCCTGCCTCTGCTATTAAGTGGACAGTGAATTTAAAGGGTTAAGGAAATGAGGATTTCTTTAAAATTTACCTGGAAATAAACATATATGTGTGTGTATATACATATATATATATATATATATATATGTATATACACACACACACATATGCATTCTCTATTGTTAAAAGCCTCAATTCCAGGAAAACTAAGAATATCCTTATTTGGCTTTACTGTAACCTGCAGAACATCCACCCACCCCACACTGGTGGCTGGGTTTTATCCACGTACAAGAAGCTGTGCCCTCATTGTGGTTCTGTTTCAAAAGCACAAGTTCAAGACCGTGGTTGTTCTTGATCTCCAAATCTAGGAAACCCAGCCCAGACACTTCCTAGCAGCGAAGTTCTCACTTCTCCAGCAAAATGCTGACGTTGCCTTTCTGTTTGTTCTGTTCCTTTGCAGCGTCAACCGGCGTTTGACACCTTTGACAGCTCAAATGCTCTTTTTGCCGGATATTTTTTCTCGCTAAATGAAGACCAAACGCTTCAAGAAGTGCCCACGGGATTTGATTCTACTTCTTACGGTAACTCTTGGTTTTGTTCCTTAGTCTGGTCAGCAGGTCAGGAGTTTGAGGGGTCTAATTAACACTTCCTGGCTGTACTTTTACAAATGCAACATGGATTTCCCTAGAAAGTAGTGGTTAAAGTGCACAGACTCCTGTGTTTTATCATGTGAGTTGCTTTGTGGATAATTGCTGTTCTCTGTACTGAAAGGGAATAAGAAGTGGGATTCAGTAGCTTTGTAGGCTGACTCTCCACAGAAGAAGCCTTAGTAGGTGTTAAAGCAGAACTGAGAGTTTAAAAACCTTAAAAAAGTTCTATGTGTTTTTAAACTTGCAACATCTCAAACATAATTAAGATGCAAGTATTCTGAAAGCTCCTTTTTTGACCCTCTGGTGTTAAATCCCGTTATATTTTATTCCATACCATAAAAAAATGAGATGGAGATGTTTACAGGTTTTATGACTTTTGTTTGTGTGTAGGACAGTATTTACCAAGAGTTCTCTACAAATCCTCGCCTAAAATGCCTGACAAAACAGGGAACTTTGTCCAAAATGTGGATATTTTACCTGATGCTGCTTTTATCTCCCCTTAGGGAAGGGAAAAACAAACCCCAAACCTCAGAAAACCACAGGTGCTTTGTTCTAATGTGTGATTCTAATCAATTGCTCTGGTCAGCAAAGCAAGTCCCAGCAGATATTAGGAAGGGCGTGGTAAAGACAGAAGTTAAGCACAGACTGGGTCAAGTGGAGCCTGTAGATAGTCTGGGAGAGCAAGAAGAGCTGCAGAAATTCATCCCTGGAAGTGTCCAAGGCCAGGTTGGACAGAGCTCTGAGCAACCTGGGCTGGTGGAAGGTGTCCCTGCCCATGGCAGGGGATGGAACTGGATGAGCTCTAAGGTCCCTTCCAACCCCAAACCATTCTGTGATAAAATGAGGCATCTTCTGGTGAAAATTGCCCAGTATGAAACACTGAGTGGAAGCCAAATTTGGCCTTAAAATGAGATCTACTTGTACATTTAAGGATCAGTTAAGTGGATTAGTGATTTATGCTGGCATATGATGGTGCCAACTTTGTGTTCTGTTCCATTACTTGCCCTCTGGGTACCAGCTTGTTACCAGTCACACTTGTTTGGTTCAGATGATAGAAAAATCTGTGGAGCCATGTCCTTGGGTGATGGAGAGATGCATGGAAAGGTCTGAAATACAGAGTTAAATGGTGCAGTCTGTCAGTTGTTTAACTCTCAAACTAATTGAAGACTGGAGTTATAAGAAGTCTGGGGTCAGATTGTAAGTGGCAAAATAGGAATAAGCAGTCTCATTTCCCTAAAAACACCACCCAAAAAATAATAGTGAAGTTTCCCCACAACAAAGGCACTTTATTGTAAGTACTAAGAGTAAATAAGGATCATCTATGTCATGGAAAGCTGCAAAGCTCTAATTAGTGATTCAATCTTATCAAATGAGTAGCACGGAGATTTTAGGAAATGGATCTATGTCTGATTTTAAAACACTGATTTTCCAGCATCTTTATTTTTTATGCTTCAAATAGCAAAAAACCCGTGTCTTCTTCCACTGGCTTAAAATGTAATGTATCTTTTTCTCCCGATCCACCCCTTTTCTTTCTCCCAGAGTCCAACAACTGTGAATTGCCTCTGTTAACCCCGTGCAGCAAGGCTGTGATGAGTCAGGCCTTGAAAGATACTTTCAGTGGTTTCACAAAGGAACAGTGTCGGCTGGGTATCCCAAATAGTAAGTGTTTTGCTATTTATAAGCGCCCTTTTTTTTTTTTAATGCTAAGGGGGAGGCTGAATAGCAGCTCTTTGAAAAGAGAAAGGATGATGTCAGTAGGAAATGCAAGAATGGATCCTATGTGAATCTGGCACAGCTTGACTTGGAAAGCCCAGGCTTGCTGGTATTAAAAAAAAGGGGTGCATGGAGAGCTCATGTTTTGGCAGCATGAGAGAGAATCAGCTATGCTGAGGACATCCAAGTGAATGCAGAAGGAAAAGAGAGGACTGGGGGGTTCTTAAATTCAAGAACACATTCATTCTGAATTCGTTGGGAACTAAGTAACTTGTGTAAACAAATTTATTTTTTAAATTCACTCCTCTCTAATGAAGATCATTTGGCAAAGGTCAGGATTTGTCTCTAAATGCTTTAAGTGTCCTTTCTGTCTTGCAGATCCCTGGCTGTGGACTGAACAGCAAGTTTGCCAGTGGCTTTCATGGGCTACCAATGAGTTTAGCTTGGCAAATGTGAACTTCCACCAGTTTCTTATGAGTGGCCAAGATTTGTGCAACCTGGGCAAGGAGCGTTTCTTGGAACTGGCACCTGACTATGTGGGTGATATTCTGTGGGAACACCTGGAACAGATGATAAAAGGTAGTTAGAGAGCCAGAAAGAGCTTTTTGGTTTAGGGCTCTGTCGGCAGAAACAGATATTGGACTCTATCTCAACACCAGTTTCACTATGAAGGGCTTTTATTACATATAAACTGTAAAACTTGGTTAATATTATCTGAACTGTCCTTGGTATGCAAGGCTGAGTACCTATTGTGGTCAGGTTTTATTTGGGAAAAATCATGGAAAGAAATGAGCTTAGGATAAGACCACTGTAAATACCTCATTAAAAAAAAAACAAACAGTTAACCAAGAGTTGGACCTTGAAACAGACTGCAATTATTGTTGTTTATCAGTTTTATGTTAAAATTCAATTGGCGTGATGGTTTTCAAGCCTACTGGAAGTTGGTTGGGTGTTTTGGGGTGGTTTCTGTCAAGGGAAAGAATGGAATATTGTGTTAGTAAAATTTTTGTGAGTGTTGATCCCAAAATACTCGTAGGATTCAGAAGCTTTTCATGGCACACAGGTCATATCTTTAAAACTATAACCCCAAATTTCCTTTTCCTCCTCTCCCCAGACAGCCAAGAGAAAACACAGGATCAGTATGTGGAGAACTCTCATCTCACCTCTGTTCCTCACTGGGTCAACAATAATTCCTTAAGTGAGTATTTTTTAAAAATTGCCTTTTTTTTTTTTCCACATCTTTCAGTTACTTCTAAGGGTGTCACAGATTCCAGTGTAAAAACAAAAAGCACCAGAATAGTTCCTGTGCTTGAGGAGAACATTTGAGTTCAATTGCTGCAGCCTTCTTTCCTTGCATTGTTTAATTGTCATCTAATTTATATCGGAAATCTTTTGAAGAGCAAAGGCTTTGGAGAAAATTAAATTTCCTCTTGGAATGCCAAACCCTCCATCTGTGGAGCAGAATGACCACTCCCATCTGTAGAAAACAGAGGCGAAAACTACCATTACTGGGAAGCAGCAAGAGTTTTGTGTTGAGGCTTTTTTTTAAGGCTGTGGAAGTGCAGTGGAGCTTTTGGAAGTGTGTGGGATGCAGTGCTGGCTCCCTCAGATTGTTTGATTGATGTTGTGTTTTATTCCACCACAATCTTCAGCTCAACCTGATTACACCACTTAATGGTGAGGGCCTTACTCAAAAACCACTTAAACTTCCCCTTTTTTCCTGTGGCCCTGTTGTTTCCTTGGAGAACAAACAATAGACATTTGTGGCTGGCAGGTTATAGAGGGAGATTTGCAGAATCTGATTTGGTGTATTTAGTGTATTAGTTTGTTTAAGGGTCTGCAGGGAAAATAATCTAATTCTTTCACTTCTTGTTTTCAGCTGTTAATGTAGATCAGAACTCCTATGGAATGCAAATGCCTGGATACCCTAAACCCCTCAGTTATCCCAAACCCAGCCTCCTGACTGACGTCTGTCAGACTTCCACAGCACCGAATCTCCTCAACCCAGAACAAGAGTTTTCATTGTTCCCTAAAGCCCAAGCAGATGCTGTTGGTGTGAACTACTGCGCAGTAAACCAGGATTTCCCAAGGAACAACCTGAATTTGCTGATGGACAATTCTGGTGAGTCATTATCTTGCATGGCAAACACTGGTCCAGGGCCATATTCTGAATGTGTTTTGCTCCTTTGCATAATTTATGTGTCCAGGGTGGATTGAGAAGGAGGGAAAAAATCCAACAATTCATAATTTTTTAATTTTTTTTTTATTTTATAAAGGTAAGCTGAGAGAACACGAATCCAGTGACAGTGGTGCAGAAAGCTATGAAAGCTCAGATTCCATGTTGCAGTCCTGGAACAGCCAATCTTCCCTGGTGGATTTACAGCGTGTGCCGTCCTATGAGAGCTTTGAGGATGACTGTAGCCAGTCCTTGTGCCTGAGCAAACCTACAATGTCTTTCAAAGACTATATTCAGGAAAGGAGTGATCCTGTGGAGCAAGGGAAACCAGTTATACCAGCAGCCATCCTGGCTGGCTTCACTGGTAAGTTGTGGAGCAAAATGGTCACTCCTCTTCTTAGAGGTGACATCAATATTCTCCATAAGTGTGTGCCATGGGGGTAGAGACCACTAGTCAGGAAGATTTCCAGTTTTAAATGTCACTAGACAAAGCCTCATAGGATTATCCACCCCCAGCAAGAACAGGCAGGTACTTCAGGACACATGAAAATCAAATACACTTGTTGATCTGTTTGAAAAAAGAGGGAAACTGGGACAAAATCTCCCACATTTGGGAATTTCCACCGGTGTTGGCTTGCCTGCTAAAGCCTTATTCCCGTAGTCCTTGCTGAAATTGGTTTTTCCTCCAAAACATTTGCCAAGCCAAGGAGTGCAGGAACAAGCCCTGGAGCTTGAAATGCAGCTGGTTGGGAGGTGGGAGTGAGGGATGAGGGATCCATATGAAAGGGAAAGATCCAGCTTGAGTCAAATCCTGTGTTTCCATGAAAAAGCTGGCTTGCTTTAATTTTAACATGTTTAGGAGGTTTGTCCTATAGAGTAAAACCTTAGGTTTCTTTCTGATTTTAAAAAGAGATAAATCAGAGTAATTACAAGATCTGTTCTGTGATATGAGTCTGGTCCCATACACTTGGTTGTGGTGAGAGCTTGCAGAAGTATTAATTATGGTTTCTCCCTCTCTCTCCCAACAGGCAGTGGACCTATACAGCTGTGGCAATTCCTGCTGGAATTACTGACTGACAAGTCCTGTCAGTCATTCATTAGTTGGACAGGAGATGGATGGGAATTTAAACTTGCTGATCCAGATGAGGTATGTGGCTAATTGTGGTGAACAGAAAGATTTAGGGTCTGAACTGCCATCTGAAATGAAGTGTTTCGGCAACTTATAACTTTGGTCATTAAAAATAAATAGGATGCACTTTCATTTTCTGATACTGTTATCAGTAGGGGAGTTATTTTATTGAGAGGTGGGATATAAAGTCCACTGAAGTCTTTTTATTAAAAAGAGGGAGGAGGGATAAATAATTAACTCCAAGGAACTTCATATCATTCACCTCTCAGTTAAAGAGCTGTCCTGTGCTGCTCAGTAGCAAATCAGTGGTGAAATGCTGTTTTCCTGAGGGAGCAGGCGATGTGCCAGAGTTCCAGAAGTGTTTGGACAATGCTCTCAGGCACATGGTTGGGTTTTTGGGGTTCTCCTGTGCAGGACCACAAGTTGGACTTTGATTCTTGTGGGATGCTTCCAACTCAGGATATTCAGTGTTTTGTGGGGTTTTTTTGAGGTTGTCCTGTGCAAGGCCACGAGTTGTATATGGATGACCTTTGTGGGACCCTTCCAATTTGGGGATATTGAGTGATTCTGGGGGTTGTCCCATGCAAAGTTGGCATTTAGACTGTGATGACCTTTGTGGGACCCTTATAACTTGGGTTATTCAGTGATTTTTGGGGTTGTCCTGTGCAGGGCCAGGAGTTGGACTTCGATGATCCTTGTGGGACCCTTCCAACTCCCCTTAAGAAATTCCTTAAGGCATTTCAGTTAAATCCCTTTAAAATTTGGTCTCCTCAAGAACATTCTGGCCCATCCACCTCAAACTGGTATCACTTTTCAGTGACATTTGCTGTCAGCCACTTCCTCCTGAAGTTGCAGCTGACAATTGTCTTGGGGCACGTTCTGTTGTGGGACTTGGTCACCAATTCTTCTCCTGAAGTTGCTGCTGACAGTTGTCTCAGAGCATGTTCTGTTATGGAGTTGGACACCAATTCTTCTTCTGAAGTTGCAGCTGACAATTATCTCAGAGCATGTTATATTATGAGGTTGGACACCAATTCTTCTCCTGAAGTTGCAGCTGACAATTGTCTTGGGGCACGTTCTTTTGTGGGGTTGGTCACCAATTCTTCTCCTGAAGTTGCAGCTGACAGTTGTCTCAGAACATGTTCTGTTGTGGGGTTGGACACCAATTCTTCTCCTGAAGTTGCCGCTGACAGTTGTCTCAGAGCATGTTCTGTTGTGGGGTTGGACACCAATTCTTCTCCTGAAGTTGCAGCTGACAGTTGTCTTGTTGTGTTGTGGGGTCGGTCACCAATCCCTACCCGAGGCTGGACACCCAAAGCAAACTAAATGCTCTGAGGAAACGACCTTAATCAGAAAACCCCGACTCTAATAAACCCTTTTTTTGTCTTTCCTTTCAGGTGGCCCGGCGGTGGGGGAGGAGGAAAAACAAGCCCAAGATGAACTACGAGAAGCTGAGCCGGGGCCTGCGCTACTACTACGACAAGAACATCATCCACAAGACGTCGGGGAAGCGCTACGTGTACCGCTTCGTCTGCGACCTCCACAACCTGCTGGGCTACACGGCCGAGGAGCTCCACGCCATGCTGGGCGTCCAGCCCGACACCGAGGACTGAGCCCCCCTGCCCGGGGAGAAGGGGGGAAAGACCACCTCATGTGGGGGACTCCGTGTGGGAGAAGGGGAGCCTGTTCTCCCGCCTGTGCTCCGGCCGGGGCGCCGCTCTTGGGGAAATCGGGACCTTGGCGGCCGCGAGAGCCGGAGGGAGGTTTTTTGGGCCTCTGGGTGTTGTCGGTCGGCGCAGCCCCCTGGATCTGTCGCGCGGGGACACGGAAAACGCTCTGGGATGCGGCGTTCCCGCTCTGGGATGCGGTGTTCCCGCTCTGGGATGCGGCGTTTCCCGCCGTGCAAAAGGCGTTTTTGGCTACTTTGACGCCGCCCTGTAATAAATAAAGGGGGGTGGCTTTAAAACCAAAGGTGGGGTGTGAGAGATCATGGATGCAGCAGAAGTGTTGCTGAGATGTTTTTAAGACGCCGTCACTGCTTACGTCTCGCGTCGTGCATCTTTATTGCGTAAAGATTATCGTTGCATCTTTTTATTTAAAAGCAAAAAACTAATTTATTTGAAAACGAGCAGCGAGGAGACCGATAGTACTTTTGTTTTTAAAGCACGTTTTATTATTATTGTTATTGTTATTACTGCTCCAGGAATGTGCTGCACAGGTACATAAACACTCCCGTGTCCAAAACCAGATGTAGCAACTGTTAACAAAAAAAAAAAAACCAACAAAAAAACAACCCACCCTTTAAAAGAAAGGGAAGGAAAATCATACCATTTCAATATTGAGTTTATATATATATTCTGTGATTCCTTTGGAAACTCTAATGTTCCTATTTAACAGATACTGTATAGTGTAAATTAAACTAATTGTATGTGTGGTTTTGAAATAGGACGAATGTAAACTTATCAGATGTGGGGGTTTTTTTTCATGTTTGTCTAGGATATACAACCTTCTGCAAATATTTAATTGGCCTGAGAGACAACAGAAGTGCTCAGTATGCATGAATATTGGGGGGGGGGAGGGAGGGCTGGCTCAGAGTTTTGCCAAAGCTGGCAATTCTTTGTGCACTTTGGCATTTTTACAGGAAAATAATGTTGTATTCTGGGACATAAAAGGGCCTGTTTGTGGTTTCTTCTATAACTGAAAGTGAAAATATGAATATGGATAAAATTACCTTTTTTTTCTTTGTAAATGGCATATGTTTTTTCAACTTCTATGCATGTACTTTTAAACAAACAAAAAAATTTATATACAAGCCTTATTTTTTCAGTTCACTCGTCTCTTCTTCCTGCAGTTTATTCTGTATGATTAAAATATGAATTCTATTTTTGGAAATAACTGTGACTCCTTTTCAAAGATCAGGAGGGTTTTATGTAGCAGCTATTTTTACTGCAAAAAAAAAAAAAAGGAAAAAAATCACTGGAAAAACGTACTTTGTAAGAAAGCTTTATTTTTTATCTGAGCTTGTGTACATTTAAATGTGTTGTACAGTGTGAGAGGTTTAATGAGTCTTCATTAAAACCTCTTGAAAAGAAAATGGTGTGTGTGCTTTTCCATTTGAAAAGTTTCAGGGGAGTTCCTTTCTTTATTATTTGTTGGTTCAACCCTTGTTCACCTAAAACCTCTGCAGGATGAAAAAAATAACCCAAAAAACCCCAAACCAGTCAGAATTTAAGGTTGTTGGAGAAAATACTGCAAGAATGCATAGGCTGGTGGGCTTGAGCCAAGCTAAATGTGTGCAACCACTCTGTGTTTAGATATAAATTCAAGTTAACACCTTTGTGTTGTGCCTCTGAAGGAAAAATATCAGTTCTGGGGTGTGAATCTGAGTGTAAAGTGATGGGTGAATATATGGAAAAACAGAGGTGTTAAGATACTTAAGCTTAAACTGTTCCTGTCTTGTACAAAGGAAGCCAGCTGTCTTTATCTCACACTCTTCTTCATCCCTCCACCCTCCACAAAAGCAGGAAATATGGACACATTCGTGCATGTTTAAAAAGTTAAAAATGCAATTATTAAATGATTCCTCTAGGCTTCTTGATCCTTCTGTCTACCAAACTTGCCTTGCCTTGATGTTGCTTTCAGCACAGTCACTCTGGTGTGGCGGCATGTTAAAAACCATGGGTTTGGGGTTTTTTTTTAGGAATGTGCCTTTCTAAGTGGAAGGAGATGAAAGGGTGGGCACGTGTCTTGTAGCGTGGCCCTGGTTCTGAGCAGCTGCAGGCACTTCTTCAGCCTTGCTTTTCCTTGTCCCTATGAAGGAAGAGAATCACAAAATGGTTTGGATTGGAAAGGTCCTTAAAGATCATCTCATTCCATCCCCTGCCATGGGCAGGGACACCTTCCACTAGCCCAGGTTGCTCCAAGATTCATCCAACCTGGCCTTGGACACTTCCAGGGATCCAGGGGCAGCCACAGCTTCTCTGGGCAACCTGTGCCAGGGCCTCCCCACCCTCACAGGGAAGGATTTCTTCCTAATATTCAATCAAACCCTGCTATATAGTACCTGTGATCCTGATAATTTGAGACAGTTATTTTGCAGAAGAATAACATATGGGCTGTCATGAAGAATGTGTTTGGGGGGTTTTTTCCCTGGGTGTCTTTCTCACGCTGTGGCTACAAAGCACTGATGGTCCTCTCAATCTGTACGAGTTCCATTTGCAATCTCTTTTCCCTGAACATAGAGATGTTTCTTCATTTAGCCTGAAAGCTAAATGACACCCCTGGAGGTGTCCAAGGAAGGACTGGACGTGGCACTCAGTGCTCTGGGCTGGGAGACAAGGTGGGGATCAGGCACAGGGTGGGCTCCATGATCTTGGAGGGCTTTTCCAATCTGAATGATTCTATGATTCTATTCTATGAAACCCTGGTCTGCTGCCTGAATTGGGTCCATGCAGCAGTTCAAGCTGTAACCCGGTGTGACCCAGAAGACAATTATTAAAGGATATTTTGTCCCACAGAGAGCACAGCTCTGTTTTCTCAGCCACCCAGCATCAAAGAGGCTGTTGAAAGCAGTCTGGCTAAATTCTTCACCTTCTCCAGGACATGCCTCCCTGCCCTTCCAGCTGCCAGCTTTCCTCATGAGACAGCAGTCAAAATAAAGTCTTGCACTTGGCACCTACCCACGGTTGGCGTGTCACCTCTAATAACAAACTTCGTCTTCAAAGTCTTCTTTTTCCTTTAAAAAAAAAAAAAGAAAAAGAAAAAAGTAGAATCCCATCCTAAAGAAAACAACACCTCTGGGTTGGGAAATCTGTGACCCACAAATGCTCCATGTCCAGGAGGCTTTTCTTGGGAAACATTTGTGTGCTGCACCCTGTTCTCACACTCACCTCAGGTCTCAGCTCTCAGCCAAGTCAGGTGTAGGTGAGGACCAGGAGAAAGGGGCAGAGGATGGATCAACTATCCCATACTTTGTCTCCACCAGTGGGAGGAGGATTGAGTAAACCTGGCCACCCTCTGTTGGTCCATTCCCCATGGAAACCCCCCACTCTTTCATGGGGAATCCTGCCTGTTTCTTTTACTACTGACTTAAGGACTTCTTACCTTGTCCAACCTACAAGGAAGGAGCCTCCCCGGCCACTCTCTGCTCACTATTCCTCCAGCACTGGAGAGCAGCACCTCACCCAGGGTCTGAGGTGAGGGCACACCAAGGTTTTGCTCAGCAGCAAGACAAAAATTTCTTCTCAATACCCTTCCTCATGGCACCTTCTGCTTTTTTTGGCTTTTTGACACATTGAGATGATGATTTCAGAGAGCTGTCAGTGATCCACTTTCTAGTAGCTCCCATTTCCAAGCGCAGCATCTCATACACCCAGGTTGGGTTATTCTTCCTTGGGTGTGTTTCTTTAAATTAACCTCCCCTGATGCTCACCTGCCACCTTTTTGTCATCTCACACCGTGTTTTGAGATTCCTCCTGGAGCTCCTCACCAGCAGTGTGACATTTGACTCCTCAAACTCCTCAGCATCATCTGCAAACCTGGAGGTTTCACCTGAAGGTGTCCCTCATCAGCCCGGGATTTCTGGTGGCTGATAATGTGCCAAGGACCAAGAGGGCTGATACAGGATTCAGCCCTTCCTCTGTTTCCAGTTTCCAGCTCTTCCACAGGTTTCTGGCTGGCCTCAGGTAAGACAATTCAAGATGGATCCTCTGCTGCTCTTCTAGTGTCTATAAATGAATAAAATGAAAGGAGAGAAAGAGAGAGAGAAAGGAAGAAAGGAAGAAAGAAAGGAAGGAAGAAAGAAAGGAAGAAAGGAAGGAAGGAAGAAAGAAAGGAAGAAAGGAAGGAAGGAAGAAAGAAAGAAAGAAAGAAAAAGAAAGAAAGAAAGAAAGAAAGAAAAGGAAAGAAAGAAAGAAGAAAGAAAGAAAGAAAACTCATTCATTTCCTCTTCTGCATGCAACCAGAAGCACCAAGGTGATGTTCTGACACATCTTTTTTGGGCTTTCCCTCTCCCTGAGCAGGTTGTGGCCCAACACTCTTGTGCAGCAGGACAACATCTGGCAACAAACCAGATCAGCAGCAGTCATACAACATGGAAGCACAGCATCTGTCCCTCGAGAGAGTTCAGTAAAGTGCTTTATAAATGCCAACCATACACTGGATCTTCTTGGAGTTTTTGCTCAAAAAGCCTCTTGTAACTGAAAGGGAAGCAAGAACCAAAAACCAGTGTCCAAGTTCATGTGGCCAGACCTCGACTGTCGCAGTTTATCTTGTGTCTCGTGTTTCTCTTCTTCTCTGTGTGGAGTTGAACCCTCCGTGTTCACACCACCATGTGACTGCAGCAGGGTTCACATGCCAGACACATGAATGCTCCAAAGGCTAAAGGGGGAATAAAAGGTGTCCCTGTAACCAAGAAGAGCAGGAAAATTCGGTCAGGAGCTCACAGTCTTTGGGAAAGATATCCAGGATCTCATGTGCAGTGTGTGCCATGTGATGTGCAGTGTGGAGCCACACAATAAGGGAAGTTATTAAAAATAATTAGAATAGGTTGGCCAATGACAGCTTGATTTGCTCTGTGCAAATTGAGATTTTCAAGTGGTAAGTCTTGGTTATGAATAAGAGAGTTTTAAGATAACTCTGTGGGCTGGGAAAGAAGCATCAGAACCCCCCATTTTCTTCCTTCTGCCTCTACTTCTGGCAGGTATGAGGTAAATGATGAACTCAACAAAACGTAATGATTAACCAGTATAAGAAGTGTAATGAAACATCTGCACATACTTTTCCTTTCTGGGAAACCAGGGCTGGGCTCATCCCCCTGAGGAATGGCCAAGGGGGACAGTGGTG